TTCAGGTTTTTCACAATTAAATTCAACAGATTGTGTTTAATTTGTTGAGTAGAAATATCTTGCTCACATTTATCCTATACAGGAAGAAATGCTCTGATTGAGCACATCTAAAGGAAAAAATGCCTCATGTTTTTTTCCTTCTGGGCATGGTTAACTATGCTGGATTTCATTTATACAGAAATGAATAGTCATTACTTTTAATTGTAACTGCTATTTAGATTAAACTATGTGTTACCTTGCATTATTTTACAGGTTAGCTGTAAAATACAGACTAGCAATTATAAAATTGTATTATTTTATATGTCATCTTAAATCTGAATGTTTGATGAATAATGTTAAATTATTTGTAAAATGATAGAAATGTTGATAGGCTTTATGCTTTCTCCTACTCTCCTGGAATTCTCATACATACTAAATAATTCTATACACTTTGCAACTATAATAGCATAAATTATTTCTAAACTTTATTTAAGGTACAAATGAATGGAATGGAATGGAATAGAGCTGGAAGGGGCCTTGGAGGTCTCCTAGTCCTGCCCCTTGCTCAAGCAGGAGAATTTATGTTTAGGTTAACCAGAGGACAACTGGTTAATTGTCCTCACTGTTAGGAAGGTTCTCCTTAATTCCAGATTGCTTCTCTCTTTGATTAGTTTTCAACCACTGAATGAATCTGAGGAAAACCAGGAAGATCCGGTCAGTGCAGTCTTCACTCATTTAATCAAGTGCATGTAGATTAGAGCAGGGGTCCCCAAACCCCGGGCTACGGCCCACTACTGGGCCATAGTCTATCCATTTTCCTCGGAAAGTGGGCACAGTTCCAGACAGCTAAACCATGTGTGCACACCATCTGATGAGTATAGGACACATGTGAATCCCACTGTTATTTTTTGGGGAAAAAAGCAGATGCTGGAATCTGTGTCCCATTTGTCACTACGAATAGCAAACCTCATTTTAGAAGTGTCCATTGTAATACATAGAAATAAAAATATGTTGCATTTCAATAGCATGGCTGCATCTCTGTAGCTAGCTGCAGTTTTATTTAGCTTGCCGGTATCCAGGTATATTTTACTTCCTTACAATTTGCTGAACATGCTTTTATTTTGGTATCACCTGCATGCCAAGGATAAATCATATGGGCATATGAATAGGTTGTGATAGCTCTTGAATTATGGAAGTTGCTTTGCCTGATTAAATTTGGGGTATAATATACAATATTTTTGGCTACTATTCAGTAACTTATGCAAGGAAAGGCAGACTAGTCCTTTGGCTTCCAATTGCCATAAAATCTAGCAATGTTGATGAATGAAAAAGGACTGTGAAAATTGTAATCCAAAAAAAACTGGGCACAGGTCTCTCGACTCTTTCTAGTGCTGAAAGACAGTATACAATATAATGCTTTCATTTTCTCTTGTGTCCTGATTTAACTACAGTGGCATTTTGACATTTGGCTTTATATTTCTTCCTTTTATTTTCTGTGTGCTTTGAACCATTGGATTAGGCAGTAAATATTAAAAAGCATATATTCATCATACATTTTTAAATTTCTTTAAAATGGTCTTTGGCTAGAATTACAAATAAATTGTTCAAATGAATAGTTTTATATGACCTTAGGTTTCTAAATGGGCTAAACGGTGTACAATACAATAGTTAGGCAGCTATTTTAATGATAAACAGTCATAAACAGTTAAATTGCTATTGGAATGTAATTTGCTCCTTGCTGGTATAAAATTTGGTTATAGCTACTTTATAATGCTGTTGCCTTTGGGCAACAGAAGTCACTGAATTAACCTGAATTGTTAATATTCTAGAAGCCTGAAACAGTGCCCACATATTTAAAACATTTAACATTTTCTAGTTCATGGGAGTCAATTATGCACTTGTATTTTTGCCTTTTATTGGAAAAAACTAAAAGTTTGGATTTATTGTAATTAATGATCAGTTGTTCCTCTTTACAATAGGATGCCAAGCTTCTTAAATCTCTACTCTCAAATGTATGATAGACAATGTTACATGGAATATACCCACACATTGAAATAATACATGATCTAAAATATATAAAATGTCTTGGTTCAGGATGGGTACTCCACAGCTTAGTTCTCCAATTCTCTCTCATACACCTACCCATTCACCCACACGCATACATACACACTAAGAACTCAAGATCTCAAGAGGAGTAGTGTCTAATTTTTTCCTTAGACCTTTCTCCATCTCTTATCCTTCTTCTGTTGGGATTTTTCTTTGAGGTTGGTTGAAGTTTTGAACAATAATACACTTAAATAATGGAGAGGCACATTTCTGTAAGTTCAGGTCCCAGTGGTTATCTGTCATCTAATCGTATTCTTAATCTCTCTTTTTCTCTTTTACTGTCAGGTAAATTCTCAGTACTTACATAATTATTTTGTAACAAGAAAAAATGTCAGCTACTTTTTCCAATATAGTGAAATGTTTCTGAGCTATTGTAAAACAAATGTTAGAGTCATTTTTTTTTGTTCCTCTGATTTATGGAAGCCCCATGAATTATGGCTCAAGACCTTTTGCATTGTGATTAGCTTGGGAAACAAACTACCATAGATACATGTCAAGGATGCATAGATTTCAGTAGTGACTTTGTCACTGTTGCTTGTTTGATTAAATTAGTTTTTGAACACTGAGCTGTGAATATGTCCTATGTGTTACTGTAAATTCAGTCACTGAACTCTTAACTGACTGGGTTAAATAACAGTTTTCAATCATAATTATATAATTCACATATAATACTAAACAATGAATTATAGCTTATAAACCAGAGAGTCTGAATTCACATGTTATGCTGACCCAAAGAAAAATGCACATTACTTTATGACTTAGTAAATGTGTGAATATGTCAGTCATATCCTATACTGGAACAATATACTGAAAGGCAACTTTTTGGATATATCAAAAGATAGGAATGCAAGTGGTAATAGTGTTGTGTTAAAGCCTAAAGTAAGTCAGCTACTATACCTAGTCTAATTGTGTGCATGTTGCTGATGCTGAAGGAAATCAGATTATGCTGAGGCAATATTCAAGTGACTGATGAGACCATGTATCTTTTTATTATTAAGTATTATATTTTAAAGAGCCATTCTTGCTTGTCATATCTATTGTTTCTTCAAGAAATAGATAGTCCCTGTTGCAAAGATCTAGCAGGTACCCTTAAAAACAGTTTAAGAGCCCTGCTGTCCTCTAAACATCCTAAGATTTGCTCCCAGCTCTACAGCCCAGTTTATTAGATTGATATCCCTGCTTTCATTCAGGAGCTCAAGGCAATATACTGCTGATCCTTCTTCCAGTTTTGCTACAAAGCAATAAACCTATGAGGAGGTTGGGTGGGTTGAGAGACAAACTGTTTCAAAGTCATCCAGTAACTTTCTATAGCTAAGTTGTCTGAAATTTGGGTCTTCCATCTTCCTAGTCTAGCATTTTAATCATTGTAGCACACTGGATTGGGGAAGATAGCCTTAAATTCTCAGTGTCTTTCAAATATGCAATTTTTGTATCTTTTAAAGTCTGGCTAATCTCCTCTGTTAGGAATACCATCATAATAAAAATTCTCAAGTGTGCAGTATTGACAGTCTGTTTTAGAAAAAAAATGGACAGAAAACAAGGATATTTGAGTCTATTGCTTAAGTAAAATCTTATCATTGCTGGAAAAATAAGGTCTAGAGTAGCATGTTGCATTAAATCCCAGTGCAGTGTGAGCTGGTTGGCCTATTGAAGCATGTAGATTTTGAGCAGTCTATTATTATCTCTCTGGCAAGATCAGGATATGCCTTTTAAAATGAAAAGCTAAGGGAGAAAACATAGAGTTTGAGAATCATGGAAGGTTTGCTGATGCGCCAAATCTTTAAAAGCCAGAGGCTAAAAGCTCTCCATTTTAAAAATCAGAATTAGATAAATTTATTGCGGACACTTAGATATACTCGCAAGATTCTTAAATCTCTGCTACCAAATTTAAAATGATAAATGTTTAAACGCTGGTCATTTTAAAATTGTAAATTATCGAAAGAAAAAAGCAGTGGGTTGATAAAATTAATTTCGAAGATTATTCTGAGACAAATGTTACAAGATATATGGAACACAACAAATCCAGGATAACTGAAGTTACGATAAGCAAAAAACCCTTATCCTTCATCTGAAATTGTTCAGTTTTATACTTTGGGGATTCCAGTGTATATAATAATACATGTTTATATATTTTTCCCCCTTTTGTGAAGATAAAAATCACAATAATAATCAGATAAATAATAATCAGATTGTAATAAATTCTGTTCTACTTAACAAATGACAATTTACTATTACTAAGATACTACCGTATGTTTTGTGCTATATTTTATCTGTGGATTTGTTCAGTTGATTTCTATCAGATAAAACAATTGAGACCCATAAAATACTTGCAGTTGTCATTTTCAATCAGGCTGCAGTCTGATACTGATTGTATTTTGTAAACTTTCTAATACCCAACATGGAAATGATAGGTAAGTTTATATTCCTATACATCTTATGAGTATTAGTTGCAATTTTAATTATAGTTGTATGCTAAATAGACTATAGCAGCAGTAACATAACAGTTATTTTTTGTTAATTAAGGAAACCAAGTGCTGCATACTAGTGCTGCATTACAATGAATACCCTGGGTACCAATGAGATTCAGTTGATCTACTTGGGAATCGTCTATGATCTATCCATACAGACAGGTGGTATAGCTTTTGCTTCAGGTCTTTGAGGCTGCTTTTTCTCCTCTTCCTCCTCCCCGTTACTTTATTTCCTGGATGGGTTTGTTGTTTGATATGTTGTTCGAGATGCTTGACTATCTGAAAAAAAAAATAGCAGTCATTCTTATAGTATCTAGGAATTAAGATTCCTTTCAGTCCTCTGATTTCTGTTTTATCTCCCTCTGTTATAACGCTGGACTGCTGTAGCTAAACAGAAATGTAGACATTTCTAATGAATGACAAATCTTTTTTTAAAATTTTGTTTAGTCTGGACAATTCAATGAAGATATGATTCCAACAGTGGGCTTCAACATGAGAAAAATCACCAAGGGAAATGTAACTATAAAGGTAAGATACAAAACATCTTGACTAGATTTCAAACATAGTGTTTGGGGTACTCTAGATTGTAGCCATCCAGGCAGATTAAGAAATTAAATTGAATTAACGGGAATTAAAATTTATCTGCTTCTTTCGCATGTAAAATCATACTGAAATAAGATGACCCTTTTGCCTTTGGATGCTCTGATAGATGTTGATGAAAATTGATTTGGAGGAGATTGGGAGGTGTGCTATGAAGGCTAAGCTGCACTTTTTAGATGATTACGCAACAGGAGCCTTTCTGTAGATGAAGGCAGGGTGACTCTTAAAGTAGGACAAGAACCTAGGAGGGAATGTTACTAAAATGTTGGGCTACTTTCAGTTGAGGAAGTGGGTTTTCAGAGCACAATTGTTTTAATACTTGTTACAGATTATTTATGGTCCATATTATTCTCAGAGACTATAACATGATTGCTGTATCCTGTTTTTGAGTTACGGGTTCCCAACTCTAGAGTTCAGGGAGGCTAAAATAAGGGCAGATTGACATGTGTTTATTAAGGCAAATTTTTCTGTACATTATTTAGATGATTTATTATCCAGTTTTTTTTTAGGAAAAAAGAGGACTTCAGTGGAAATTTGAAAAGGAGTATCAGCAATATATCAGTAGTTGGTATAGACATATTACAATGATGAAAAAATATGAGTGTGTTAATTTAGTGCACATATCTCCTGTCATTTCAATCTTTTTGGATATATACGTAATGCATATTAATAGTTTGAAGTGTGGAGAGTTTTGCAAGTTTTATGAATGTGAGAATGTTTCTCGGTAGGATCTAGAATTTCAGTTGAGGAATCCATTTTCTGGGCTATCTTGGTAATCCTCCAGCTTTATTTTCCTTAGCTATAAATGAATACGGTCCATGGCGTAATTGGGGAGAATTGTATTACTTAGGAAAATAGAATATGTATGTAGAGTATAGCATATGCAAGACATGGATAAATCTATTTGTAAGGCCTCATATCCTCCTCTTTTCTCATCCTTTCTGTTTCTCTCTCCGTATAGCTCTGGGACATTGGAGGTCAACCTCGTTTTCGTAGCATGTGGGAGAGGTATTGCCGTGGTGTCAGTGCAATAGTGTAAGTAGTTCTTGTCTGCATACTAAGAGTATGGTAAGTAAGATGTGCTTGATGCTTCCCTATAGAGGGGCAGGAATAATACACAAAGAAGGGTGGAAACCTGCAATTAGTTCTAACTCTTTAACTGTAGTATGGCTAAGTGCAAGTTAGGCATCATAACAAACTTTTGCCTCCCCTTTTCATAGCTGTGGATAGGGGACTTTCCCCCTGATTTATCCAATATGCCAGTTGTGCCCTTTCCTGGACCTTGCATCTCTTCTAATAATCACTCAGGTTATCCCAAAGGTACTTTTTCAAGAGGCAACTGGACTTTCTGTTTTTTCTTTGAAGATGTTTCGCTTCTTCATCCAAGAAGTGAGCTGAATAACCTTCTTGGATGAGAAGTGAAATGTCTTGAAAAAAAACCAGAAAGTCTAGTTGTCTTTTGAAAAGTATCTTTGGGACACCATGATCTGAGTGGCTGAGAATTTCCATAGACAGTCTCTCAGGTTCTAGTCACCTCACATGTAAACAATTGCAATGCACTCAGTATGGGACTGCCCTGGAAGACAGCTTGGAAACTGCAGCTGTCAAATATGGTGGTTCAGGTAGCAGGTAGTTATGGAGACATTTTTGTATATCTGTGTAATACCATTGCTGCACAGACTGCACTGGTTACCAGGATGCTTCTGGATACAATTCAAGGTACCAACAAAGGGCCTGAAGGACAGATTGCTTCAGCCTGTCCAGGAAGACCTGATAAAATAGGCATGCTACAAGTCCTGTTGTTAAAACAATGTCTTAAATGGACTTAGGCACCTTCTCTGTTTTGGCACCTGCTCTGTGGAAAAGTTACCGCTCTTCAGGTTTAACTCACCTCATGACTCAGGGACATTGCCAGGGGTGGGTGGGTGAGTACAGGACAGCCAAAAGGCCTGAGTTGGGAGAAGATAGGCAAGAGAGGGAGTTTTATACTTATTCCTCTCAATTTAGGGGAAAAAATAATGCTTTCTGATTTTTGACAGAGATTGGAATTAGCTGAAAAACTGGATTTTATTTGTTGAATCTCAATCTAGATAAAGCAGAATTGTGTCTTCTTTATGTATTAATGCTTAACACACACATGGGATTAATCTCTTCAGAATAATACTACAGGAATGATCAATTTATTACTAATCAGCTATTTCTGACCCATCTATTAGCCTGCTAGATAAGAAGGAGGGAGAGATATGATGTAGAGAAAATTATGTAGTCACATAAACAATTGGCATTTATTTCTTCCCTGCATTCCCATGGATTACTTCTAATTATCTCTAAAGGACTTCGTTGTTAGAAACATTCATCTCTGTTCATTTATGTAAAGTTGTATATCAATATTCCCTAATCAAGGCATCCATCATGTATGACAAGTTTAATTCGCACAATTTTCAATTATAGTGATGCTGACAGGAATTCTAGGAACTGAAATCCATATAACTGAACAATATCCAGTTCAAGACTACCCTTTTATGAAGCTGCATCTTTACCCATGGTCCTTCTATTTCACTCATGGTTGTCTTTCCCCTTATCAGTGAGTGCAACCTCCAGTAGTGGCCAATCCCTCTATTACTTCTGCAGATATACATGCTGAATTAGGTCTTCTTTAGCCTGGGCCTCCCTTTCCATATAGGCAAGCCTATGGCCTTGTTCACATATATTGGCAAATGTTACAAAATAATCCACTATCCCCTTGTTGTGAAGACATTTTAATTAATTGGAAAGTCATTTTAATTCAGCTTTGTTGAAAATGTTGAACTGTATACTGTACTCCAGTTGGATTTTTATGCATTGAATTCTCCTTGAACACTCTATAACATAATGTTTTCATGTTTTTCTATAACATAAAAAGTGAATCTAGAAAATTTGCAGACATTGTCTTATATTTGCTTCCTGCTGTTTTTTAAAAAATAGAATTAGCCTAGCACATTTTGTCTAGTGAATAATTGAACATAGATGTAAGTTCGCTTGTGGTGAATGAAATTGCTATGTGCAACCAACAGTTAGATTAACTGACTGTTGAATTACCCAATACCTGATCAGTTTCCTTTGGGGTGGTTGCTGGTGGTTGCAATTCTGACAAGGGTCATGAATCGGGATGGTCCAAAGATGGGCAAATTTAGGAAGCTGTTAAGATGAAGTAAGAGCTAAAGCCTAAATAATGGCAAAGGTTCTGTTTTCTTGGAAATTTAAGAAACTGATAATAAATGTCTCTTAGAATCCAAAATGTCATCTATATTGAATGTATCTGTAAACAGAATCAATAGCTTAAAATCTTGCCTTAATTATCTGCTGTTATCTTTTTTCCTAACCCTTAAGAACTTTAACATTTTTAGTAACTTCTTACTAAGATGTGGTTAAGACTATTTGATAAACATCCTGTCTACCCCTGTACAGCTCTTCTGTGTCATTTGTACTTTTTTATGAAAGTAATCTTCAAATGAATGGGAATGTAGACTATACAAGTAGAATGGTGTATACTTCAGAAAAGATTGAGAAGGAAGTGCTTTCTGATATTGCATAAATACAACACTTCTCTATTATTCATTCAGCAAGTTTCTATGGTGCTGTCTCAAGAATGGGCTTCTTAAAGCAGTGGTGAATGATGCTTTGATAAATAGCAGAGAGGTGTTGTGTGAGGTCTGAAGCATGTCTCATACATTATTTTCAAAGTATGTTCAGCTCTGCCTAAGCAGTTCTTCACAAATATTTGTAGAACTAGAATCCCAATGCCACTAGGAGAGTAAGTACCTCCTAAGGTATGAAAAGTTGAATAAATATGCTGCCCAAACCCAAGTTTTGTAACCAGTCAGTTAATGAGACTCTGATAAAGTTTCAGAATAATCCATCTTGTTTGCTGGAGGTTGGTTAGCTGATGTTGTATTAAGCTTAGGGGTGGGATTCTACCGGTTCTGTCCAGTTCTATAGAACCCCTTGTTAACTTTCTAAGCAGTTTGGAGAACCAGTTAGAAGCAATCTTCTTTGGTTTTTTTCCACCCTTATTACATTCTTGCCAGTACGCCTAGATTTCCTGTTTCCAGAGCTTCTGGGGCTTGACTTCCTTAAAGGGGAAGGGTTGTTTTAAGATTTTTACACTGCTGTTGGGAGGAAATACTTCCCTGGACAATAAGCACTTTGAAGAAATAATTGAATAATGTAACAAAACTTTTAGTGAAAGGGAACCAAGATGAGTGATATTCAGCAAGGCTTCTTGGCTAGCTAGAAAGATTGACATTCAAACGTGAGTTTACATACCCTTTCTGAGTTTTCGTCTAAAACCTGTTTTTGGTGAAGGTTAATTCTGTGCTTGGTGACATTTAATCCTGTGTTTATTGATGGGATAATTTTCCCTATTCAGCTTCAACAAGCAACAGCTACTGTTGTGATTTAATTATTTGTATTATGTTTGAATCTTTTCCTGCCTCATGGTTTCTTTTTCTATCTGAGGAGGGGGTCTTCCTTCACTGCTTTAGTACTATCTGGCACTGTCCTTTTGGGGTATACTTCCAAGAGGCAGGATGCAAGCTTGGCACTGATTTTTTTACTGCCTTTCTGGGGGGGCATGTGACTTTTCCTTAAATCTGGATGATTTCCTTAGGATATCTTGTGAAGTGAATGAGACCAGTTGGTATCTTTAAGTGGTGCAAATGGATCTAAGGATTGCTTTTTCTGGAGAGCTTAAATGACGTCTCTGCTAAAAGGTTTCACTGTATGAGTAAGAGTTGACTGCTGATAGTTATCATTGCATTTTAACTATTTTAATTCCTCAAGGTGCTCTGGCACCCTGCCTGATTTGTAACCTCGGCTTACAGGTATTTTTAATCTAATGACTGGTAGTTAGGGCAGCTTTTTACAAGCAGAGAAGCTTTTTGTATTTTTGTACAGGTAATCCTTGACTTACAACAGTTCATTTAGTGACCATTCAAAGTTACAATGGCACTGAAAAAAGTGACTTATGGCCATTTTCCACACTTATGACCGTTGCAGCATCCCCACTGTCATGAGAGGCCAGGTGAGAAGAAGTGCCCCTTGACATGAGTGATGTCGAGTTGGCCATGCCTACCCAGTCACATGACCACCAAGCCACACCCACCAACTAAGCCATGCCCACAGAACTAGTTGTTAAAAAAACTATCCCACTCCTGATTAAGCTCTTACATAGTATCTTAGGCTGCCACCTGCAACTGCTTGTATCACCTTCCCAGCTCAGTAGTAATGTGTTGTTTCATTCTAGATACATGGTAGATGCTGCAGATCAGGAGAAGATCGAAGCTTCAAAGAATGAATTGCACAACCTGCTTGATAAACCACAACTCCAAGGCATTCCTGTAAGTTGATCCAATTCTGGAAAGGGTAAAGTATATACAAGTTAATCCATATGACGGATTGAGTAAAAAATTCATCTCAATATTCTCAAAAACTACAGACTAGATTTTGGAACCAACTACTTCTCATTTTCATGACTATTCCACATGGTGCTGAGATATATCTTTTCTAGGATGTGTAAGCTTTTATGGAAGGACTATTGGAAAAGTAAGAAAGGGCAGAATCTGTTTTTACAACATTGCAGGAGATAGGGGTGGCTTTCTTGTTTGGAATGCAAAAAAGAAAAATATCGCACAATAAGCTCCTAGAAAGTAAGGCTGAAGTTTACTAATATAATTAATACTTAGTTTTTAGCGCATCCACAGTTAAATATTTTCTCAGCTTCTGATGACTATATGGATATAAGCATGTAGGTTTTTTTTTTTGCCAATAGTAAGGAAGGAGCTTGCTAGTCTCTTCTTCCATGCTGTTTCTATTTTTTTTTCCATTTATTTTTTTAGCCTAGAGCTTTGGAACTTTCTGATGGTCTCCCATCCAAGTACTAACAGAGCCTGACACAGAGCCAGAGTTGGATAGGTGCTCCCACTGGCTACTGTTCAGATAGAAGATAGAAATAGCACACTGTATTATTGCACACATTGTAAAGATATATGCAAATCTAAGTGCAACTCTGAGTGTTTCTACCTTCTATGAATTAAAATCCTTTCCTCGGAGTTTTTAATTTTTTAGTTAGACAATGAAATAGCTTATTTGAGGCAAAAAATGTGAATACGTAACACATATTTGCAATGATATTAAATATATGGAGACGGTCATTTCACTCCTTTCTTTAAACCTGCTACACAGAAATGCACTATGTTGCCTTTTTAAAGATCTGTGATTTCCATTGCTTGCCAGATCCTTCGACTATTACACCAGTGGTATGGTCTTTAGCAAAACAAATGGGGAGATAGATGTCTTTGGGAGAGAGTTTCATGGTCCAAGTCTTATGAAAATTAGGAAGTCAAGAATTGTGTAGGGTAATATTTTAAAAGAAAAAAAACCAGTTATCAATTAGTATGCTGCCATTTGAACTGGTCCATAGGGAGCATTGCCAAGAGTGAAGTAATTGCAAAGAAAAGAAGCAAGTACTCTTTTGGGTAGCTAGGTTTTAATAGCATATCTGGACACTAGACAACTTTCTGTTTATTGGTTACAAAAGATGTATTGGCTGCCCCCAGGGAATACATTTAAAGGTTAATCATATGCCCTCCATGAGCATTTGATTTTTTCCATGAATGTCTTTCCAAGGGAACCACTTAAATTATTAATATTGTTATTCATATCTGCATTTAACCTTAAAGCAATGTAATGTTTTGCTTCTTTTATGTAAAATCCATCTGGCATTTTACAAATTGGTATTTTAAATATTTGTAGAGACAGCTTTCCTATTATCTTTTTCTCTTTCAAGCCAAGTTGTGTTTTTTCCAACTTCATGCTTGGCAGACTTTCCCTGGATTATAAAGAAACTTCTTGAATTCAGAAAGTATACACTGGTGCACAAGATGCAGCTTGTTTGAACAATGGAGTCATTTCAGACTGTTCCATAACTCTTTGCAGCTTGCACGTATCAGACTAAGAGCACTGTCCTATTCTCTTTTGCAGGTTTTAGTTCTTGGGAACAAGCGAGATCTGGCTGGTGCCTTGGATGAGAAAGAGCTAATTGAAAAAATGTAAGTGTTTATTGTTGTCTTCAGTATCTCCAGTTTGGCTGGAGCGCCTCCATTGCGGCTATAACTTGAGTTTAGTTTCTTGGACATCACATCTGGATATTATGCAATATGCTATTTTTATATAAAAGGCAGAATAAAAATATAATAATCATAATAATAAATGCTCGTTTTGGTATTATAAAATTACACTGCTTATATGCCACCCATTTTCACCAGTCTAAAAGATATAAACAATATAAACATAAAATACTCCAGCTGGCTGCGTGACTTTGGGTCAGTCACTCTCTCTCAGGCCAGCTAACCTCAAAGGACTTCTGTTGTGACTAAACATAGGAAGGAAGGAGGAGTATTAGATATCCCAAAGATGCTTTTTCAAAAGGCAACTGGACTTTCTTGTTTTCTTTGAAGACATTTTGCTTCTCAGCCAAGAGGCTTTTTCAGTTTTCCAATTTTTTCTGCCCACCCGTTAAGATCCAGCAGAGTGGGTATAGTTCAAGCTCCCTTGATTAAACAACATTATCTGTTAGGGGCCTTTGACGCCTGCCTTCTGCATTGTGGTGCCTGTGCTCTGGAATAATATTTCCCAGAAATCTGTACAGCTCCTACTCCAATGATGTCCCATGACATCACTGAAAACTTGACTTTTTGTAGATATTGAGACAGGGTAGTAGATAAGTTCCTGTAAGTTTTTGTGTAGCATGTATTATATAGGTTTTTTTTTCTGAATGCACTTCAGTTATTTCTTTTCATTGTTCTTTTGGACAGACCAGGATTTGGACTTTATATTTTTTGTTATGTATCTGCAGTAAGTGTTCTTTAAATCAATGTCAGTAAGAAAATAGCATAAAATTAAAAATATCCACAGGTACATGCCAGCATTCCCATGTTCTGGTCAGAGAACATCCTTCTCTTCTGCAAGAATGAACAAGTAGGTCTTTAAAGCTTGCCTGAAGTCTAGGATGGCTGAAGCTGATCAAATTCCCACTAAGAGGGAGTTTCAAAGCGTGGATGTAACTACCGAGAGCCTCCAATATGTGACAATCCCATATAGATAGGGTTTGGAGGAAATGGCCCTATTTGATCTGGTTGTATAGGCAACTTCCATTGTGACATTTGTTTGGCCTAGCGAAATAATATATTGGCCTAGAAACATCATATATAACTAGATACCTTCAGCTTAATATTGATTCCAAACAATATTGATGACTTCCTTTAGCAATTTCCTAGAGATCTTAAAAAGAACTGGATAGAAGAAACATTCCACAAGTGAGTAAACCTCTCCCTTGCCACCAAATGGCACTAATCCTTCAGGAGGAGGAAGCACTGCAGAACAGAGGTGGTTCAGAAGGCTATCATGGTCAATAGTATCAAAAGGAGGATTATAAAGTCTAGATCCTGGTCTGTCCAAAAGTCACCCACAAGCCAAAAGTTTCCATGCTGTATTCTGGCTTGACAACTAAAGAGTCCATATCTATTGCCTGTAGGATCCTTTGCAGTTGTAGGACTTCTACTTTTTCTACAATATCTCGGGGTGGGGGGAGAGTAAACAAGTCTATAACTGTCCAACATTGGATTGAGTAAAGCTTTCTGACTGGGGTCTGATTACAACCTCTTTCAGATATGAGAGAAACATATTCTCAGGCAAAGATTATACATACACGTAAATTGCATGCGTACCCCCCCCCCACACACACATGCAACAGATTTTAAACAACAAATCACACCTTGTCTTTACAGAATCATTTTGATTAATTAGTATCTCCATTTTATTAATAACAAACCAGGTCAAAGACCAAAAGTGAGCCTTGACTTCAGTCCAGATTTTAAATTTCTAGTAGCAGTTTCTTTCCAACAAAGCAAAATCATGTTTGTGACTCTACGTTAAGCTTGGTAAATCCAGTTCTTCATAAACTAATAAAATTCCAAGTTTTCAGTATATCACAGTTTCTTTATTTTTTTTTCCTCTTCACCAATCATTTTAACAACAGTTTAAGTATCAGCCTTAAATCAGGACAACTAGAATAGGCCACCCAGAGTCACTGTAAGTTGGGTAGACATATAAATCTCCTTAATAAAAAAACAAAGTCCCAAATCTCTTCAAGCTTCACTTTTGCTGGTGGGATTTTTGAAGAAATGTGAAGCATACCTCAAATTGCTTCAGTCCTGTGTATTTTATTGCTGCAGTCTTGTGCATTTTATTGCTGCATGTTTGTTCTTTTTGTCACACCAGAGCAATTTATTAAGCAGCATTTGCTTTCAATTCCAAATTAATCAGCGCGCATGCTTCTTTCCCCCCACTATTGCAGTATCTCCTTTTTTTAAAACCAATTTGATACTCCCAGTTTATTCTTTACCATCAATGTTCTCCCACCTGGAAAGGAATTATTTTTGTAGAGGAACCTTCCTGAACAATGACACCTGAGATTTCTGAAAAGGGAGATCTGCTTCTAAGGACATCCAGGCCTAATATCCAGGCAGTATTTATGAAGACTTCCACCTAGTTGAACATCTGAAATATGATACTGAAGCTTGCCAAGGCCTTCATTCTTGAACTTGTACAAGTCTAACCAGGTCGGGGTTGCTACCAGTTCGGTGACTACGTTTTGTGCATGCATGCGCGCTTTGCATGTAAAAATCCTTAAGCTGTGGCGCCCAGACAGCTGAAAAAGGGCTGCACGCAAGTGCGCAGCGTTTGAAAAGCCACTATTTTCCTGCTTTTTCAACCTCAGCTGTGCCATGCAAAGCAGCTGAGGTTGAAAAAGCAGGAAATAAAGGACAGGTAAGAGCCTGGGTGAATGGGTGGGCCAAACAGCAGCAAACACCGAACCTGTTCTGTGTTTGCTGCTCTTCAGAGCTACCAGTTCTGTAGAGCTGGGCAGGACCGGTAGCATCCAACCTGTGAGTCTAACTAACTTGATTTATGGACTGTATTTTTTTCAGATGTACATTTGCTATTTAGATTACTTGCATTGTTATTATATGAGTTTGCAAATCATCAGAGACCTTGGAGAATACTATGTTCAAGTATAGTGTAGATTATTGATAATACATTGTAGGTATTTTTAACAGGGGACACTATCCCATGAATACATATGATGATGACGGTGGTGATGAATCTCAGGCAAGAGCAAAAGGCTTTGGGGAGAAGAGCACAGTATCAGCTCTATATCAGCTGTTTGCTTCAGAACTGAAATAGTTGGAAAGGAGCACAATGACAAATCATATTGGACACTACATGGTTTTAATCAGCGAGAAAGCACAGAATACATAGAATCATAGGGCTGGAAGGGACCTTGGAGGTCTTCTAGTCCAGCCCCATGCCCATGGCAGTAGACCTTGTACCTTCTCGGACAAATGGACTTCCAATCTTCCAACCCACAACCCCAGCAGGCAGGCTGTTTGATTATTAATTTTTCTTACTGTCAGAAAATTTCTCTTTAGTCCTTACATATTTCAAGATAAATTATAGGCATAGAGCCATCCACAATTTTTATTTTCAACAGATGGTTTTGTAACCCCTGTGGGATTTAAAGCCATCTTCAAAATCAAAATGCAACTGGATATCCCATTGTTTGAACACTGATAATTATAAGAACAAAACAGAGATACCACTTACTGAGAAAATTACAGTCCAGGGATAGTCCTGGAAATAAAAGCACTATGAACCCATATTGGGTCACAGAAATGCAATTTGCTGAAAGAAGCCAACATGCTCTTTGAGTTTTTCACAGCCTTTGCCACATGGTGGCAGCATAGGCAGGCAAGTATTGCTCATTTCTCCTTTTTCCCAGAGAGGCTGAACAATTGTTGGCAGGGTTCACATATTTCAGGAATTGTTTTTATAGTAATATTTTCTGCTAAAATAAGGAGAAGACTCAAGAAAGCAAGGATTCATTCAAAGTAGGCAACTTAAAAAAATAGAAGGGAATTAGGAGAGGGGAAGAAATATCATTGGCTAAGTCTTGCCTGTGAAGGATCCTGTGCAGGATTCTGCTATCCTTACTGGGTTCCACTTTCTTTGTAAGATTACGAAACACCCTGCAATAAGAAACTAATATTTTTTTCCGTAAAGGTGGTATAAACTAAAATGATTGTATCTGAAAGAGTCCATGATCTTATACAGACGTTCTTAGGCGAGTGAGACACTGGAGTCACCAAATCTTCCCTAATTTTTTTCCTCTCTTGGCAAGAGAGTTTGGGCAGTGAATGATGAGCATTGTTGTGTGCCAGCGCCATTAGTATTTTCGGGCAGAAATAGCAACCATTTTTCTTTGAGCTCTTCAGAAGAGGCTGAGGTGAAAGAGATAACAGGGGCTAATATGTACTATTTTATTTTGCTATTTCAGGGTATTTGGTGTGCTTTCTGTGAATGATGCCCAAGTCTGTTCGTCCAGCAGAGTTACCCATCTGGCTTTGAATGGCCTGGAGTTTGGGGGCAACTTATGACTGTGATCTCACAGATGCCAATAGATCCCAGCCTTTCTCAAGCTTTGAATATAAGCCACAATTGTTAACTGCCAGCTTTCACCCAACTTTGCAGCTTCAAAGTTAAGAGAGGGTTGACCACCCACTAGAAGGCAATCTCATACTTGCTCTGTGGTTCAAAATCTATGGATGCTTATTTATTAGAAGAAATTGTTGTGTTGCTTACACACTCAAGCTTTTCTGGAATAGCAGAGTTCGTGTTAGTCCTAATTGTTGGGTGGGTCTTTTTACAGCATATTTTAATCAGATATGGCTGTCAGAGCTAATTTAGGCAATCTGTTCCATATGCATACAGTAATGAGATCATTATTTTTAAAACCATACCAACAGGGTGCAAATATGAAAACTTTCTCACTTTGGAGAAAGTGACACTTTGGAACACATTGTCAGTTGGAATTTGCCAATCTTCAACGTTTAAGAGCTTTCCTACTATTGTTATCCATTTCTTGCACTTTAGTAATGGAAAGTTCTTGTTTTTATTATTTATTTTTCCTCATACTCTATCCTGGAAATCAAGTTAAAATGGCTTTTATTTTTAAAGGTGGAAGATTTTTGTAAATGGTTGTGTGAAGCCTATGTGAACAATATTTGACTCTTAAATCAGATTGGCTGTAGGATAACATTCCCAAAGTTTTAGGAGACACAGAGTGAGTAGAGATGATAAATGAGGACAGCAGGATCTCATGAGTAGTGAGGTCATCATTCAAAAGGAAATGTTCTGAACTTGTCCTCTTGTCATTATGTTTTAAGATGCAGGTTACTGGTCACTTTTTTTGGCTGGCAATGATTCTTTTGTGCAAGTTGTCCTTTTTCTTTTCTAAGACTTCTGATCTTTCATGCTGTTACATCTCTTTCAGGAACTTGTCTGCCATCCAGGACCGAGAGATCTGTTGCTATTCAATTTCTTGCAAAGAAAAAGACAACATTGGTAAGCTGGAAAATAAAAGGCTGGGAAAGATCAGAGTATGGTCAGAGTATGTAACAACTTGGAAGGTGCCGATGGGGGTTGAATCTGCAGCTAAATCTTAGAGTTCCTTTGAGGAAACACCCCAGTTGCTGGTTTTTCCCATAATGTGGACAGGTTCAGCCAAGTCAACTGAGCTCTATAGTCAATTTTATTATGAGGGTTCTGTATGCCTTTGGGGTTTCCATTCATTTCATAGTTGGAAGAGGGAAGATTTTGGTCACATCACCCTTTGCCCTCTATCAATTCTGGTGGGTTGTGAGACTGAATCAGCCAGCATTTGAGAAAAGATCTGGCTTTTAGCTGGGCAAACCTCTGCACATTTTATTTCACCTCCAGGTAAGGAAAAGAAAGTTTAGCATATCTTCCTTTTCTTCTCGATGGTCATAAATTGTTACCTTCTTCTTTGACAGATATCACCCTACAGTGGCTTATTCAGCATTCAAAGTCCCGGCGAAGCTGAGAGCTCTTTGTTCAAGTTTTGGATCGGGAAGATGCGATTGTAAAAGCCAGGCGCACCTCCTCCTTTCCCTTTCCCCATCTCCTGCTCTTTCCATCCCTCTTGCCCACCTCTTTTTCCCTAGATGGGTATTTTTAGGGGACACCAGAACCCTCTTCAGCTGAGATTGAACTCCTGTTTTTATTATAAAGAAACTGTCTGCCCCCTCCTCTCTTTTGCTCCTTACTCTGATTTTGGCACTGTTCTGTTGTTGTCAGTGTGTGTACAGTTTTGTTTTCTGCGGTTTTCGCGGGTATTTGTATGTGGATCTTTGGTTATTCGGGTTTTCTCCCGCGTAAAATTGGAAGTAT